ATCAGGAGTTCAGCATGAAAAATGGTCTTTACATCACAGAAAATTAGTTTTAGCAGGTGGGCATTAGGAAAAAGTTACTGCCACCATAGCCCATGTTTAGCCATTATGTAATTTTCTTTCTGGTGTTCTTTGTGACATTAATAGGATTTTCCTTCCTATAGGTATATAGGAGATCTGGCAATAAAGTTCCAGGACTGATTTTTTTTGTGAGTCTGTCTATATTGCAAAAATTATTTTCATTCCATGGATTACACTGTTGGGCAGTGTTGTGTCAGCCCTCATCTGACTAGCATCTGACCCCAGTGGACAGCAGTTTCAAGTGGCTAATTTATTCTCTGCATAGTTTCCTTTTTTGTTGCTATTTATTTCACTAAATGAAGCATTATCTTCCTTCAATTTTCGCCTATTTATTTCTGTATCTGCTTCGTCTTTGATGGGAAGAACACATCAAAGGAGCACCTGAGGTGTTCCAAAAGTGTTGCGCTCGGCACGCCTCCAGGAGCGCCGTGTTAGATGGAACACTTCAATTGAATTCGGCCATCGGAACATTAGGAAACGTATTACAGAACACCTCAGAGAGTATCATCTGGAACACCTGACGTGTTCCAAAAGTGTTGCGTTAAACGCGTTCTAGATGATGTTTTTCAGGTGTTCCGAATCGGAAAAATTTTTTACAGTGTAGGTCTCAGACAAAAGTGCCCTTCCCTCTTTCCCGCGCAGGAGTGTTTAGTATCTTGCCATATATCTTGCATTGTTTCATTATAGGAATCAATGAACATGGACACTTCATCACTTGTTATCCTCATATTTGAGACAGATTCATGGGGTCAATGTAAAAAATGCTCACATTCCCAAGAATCCCATTCCCTTTCTGTGTGTGAATTATGTGTAGGAAATATTACTTTCAGACAGTTCTCTCATGCGGAATGCACAGGAATTTTTGCTGCGTACATGCGAATGCATGGAAAGTGTGAACAACCATGCTCCTAATTGGCAACCTTTATCTTGACTTCACCCTTTCACTGCTAGCAAAGTCTTCATCGAGGTATTTTCTCTCAAGTTCAGTGAAATACATCCCAGGGAAAGCATAGAATTGAGAATGCTCTTGGTGCCTCCATGAATCATTAAATACTGTTTATTTTTAAGCCAACGGTTACAATGCGTTTTTACCGATACCGATAACGTACTGAATTTTGAAGTGGTACTTTTCACACTAGATACAAAAAAAAACACTTCAGATTCCTCTGAGATCTTCAACGTATTAGACAAACTTAACCCTTTCGCTCCCAAGCAGAATTGTATCTCATTAGGAAGAGTGGAAATATTGAACCTTGGGATTCAATGGGTTAAGACGCAAGTACAGACGGTTCTCAGTCACTTCTTTCTTAGCTTTTTTGTCTCTATACGATCTCCTTTTTGCCGGCGAGTGATTAGGAATCCAATAATTCTAACTCACTCGCCATGATTTAAGTCATGACACAGCAAAGTCATGTAATGTTTTACATTTCCGGAAGAGATGGAACCCAAAACAACATTTCACTCATGAAGATCATAATTTATTCCTAGACTACATCGATCACATTGTATAACTATATGCCAAACAGCTACAGGAATTTGGAATGGTGTGAAGGATAGAAATCAGACAGCAAAGGTAGGCATCTGTGTCCACCTTACCATTCAATTTCGACATGGGCAGCTCTTTCGCTTNGATAGAAATCAGACAGCAAAGGTAGGCATCTGTGTCCACCTTACCATTCAATTTCGACATGGGCAGCTCTTTCGCTTAGCCCATTTCTGTCTATTATTTTTCGCTCCATTTTTCCTTCTTGCTAACGCTTGAACTACTTGAACAAATCTCCGCTTGAGTGCAGATCAGTAAAGTAAATGCCAAACAGGTGAAACATGAAAACGGTTGCCCAGGGTGAAACATTGGTAGCAACTATTTTATTTCTACTGTTTCCTTTCCAATAGGGCGAGAAATTAGGAACGTAACATATTTGTCGCGCTAGTCAGAAATGGGCTAATGATGTGAAACTCCTGGCCTTGTGACCAGGGACCGGAAGATGTACCTGAGGAGCCTCAGAAAAAATTTACTGACTCAAGACTAAGCATAGAAAGAGTGCACGAAATACTGTACATTCTATCCTTTCATATAGTATGATACATGTCGCGGTCATCTTTGAAACAAAGATGCCAGACCTTCCATTACCCGCCTGTCATAGAATCCCTCTGACATGCAATTTTAAAGAATTACACAAAGAATACAGAATACAGCTCTGTGTTTTAGGAAGACATTGAAAAGACGGCAGTGAATTATGATGAAAATCACGACGAAGGCAAGAACGCAGGGAAAGGAACACCTCAGACCATGGGGATAACTCGATCGCCCTCTGCACAATCCACATTTTGAGAAGCAACTGGGTGCGAACCTCTAGAGGATATTACAATTCTCCTTGAAAGAGCTTCCACCTGTGAACCGGTTAGAGAATTCGTACATTTCTTAACCTTGCAACAGGGATTCTCCCTCATCATCTGCACACCGTCCAAACAATGAAAATCGCTGAGGATATTAAGAGAAACGAAATTTCGTTGAAGGAATTGTGGAGCCTGTGGACTCACCCGATTCTCCTCCAGAGCATCCTGATTTTACTACTGTGACTCTTCGTCTCTATTGGAAATAAGAAAATAACTCAAAAACTCACCCGAGGGAATGAGGCTCAGGGCTTCAATGGGCGGACTCAGAACGTCGTCGAAAAACCGCTGAAAGCTATCCGTTGTGATCTTCCTCAATAATTCATTGATGGATTTTGCATCCTTCCTCATTTTCTCATTTTTATCGATGGAAGGACCGTTTTCCTCTTTGGCAAGGTAGGCGTAGCTATTAACGGGGAAATGCTTATTATAGGTCAATCCGGCCTCCTTCACGGATTCTTGGGCGGGTAACGGATTGTTGTCTGCGAATGTATAGAATAAATAGGTCATCTGGGTCCTCTCATTCTCACGTCCAAAGACTTTGGTGATGCTTCCCAGCAACAACTTCTCCTGCGCCGTAAATTTCCCCTATTCACAAGGAGGAGATGGATGCATGCCCTGAATTTGGTATTGAATTTTCCCCCTCATTCTGAGAGGTAATTTTCAGAATAAGGGGGGGAAAAAACCCTTTTAGTTTGAAGGGGAATGCAAAAGTACCTAAGGATGCCTCATGTACAGTGCAGTAACAATGCAGAGCTGAATTATTGAATTTCATGACTCCAAAGAATTAAATTCATCGAAATATCAAAATATGCGAAGCTATACTTACTAAGCTTGCCTGGCACTGCCTCCCAAACTTCGAATGGCCAATTGTAACAACGTGAACCTATCGAAATATTCCAAGAACAATTTTTGTACTAGCAAACTATGCACGGAAAATACCTAGGTTCCAGTATGATACCCTTTGAACTAGTTCCCTGGAGTTGGGATATACTTCTCCTAACGTTTGTATAGAGCTTGGAACTCTGGCTGTAAACCATTCTAGGCAACTTCCTTGGACGCGTTGGTCGCAGCTGACTGGAGAATGTCATTTTCGTCGATGCGGGGACCTTTCAGAAGGAACTTCATTTTGTAAACCAGAGTGAAGTCAACAGGTGGGAGATCCAGTGAATACGGAGGATGTGGGAGCAACGTCACTTCATGATTGGTTAGAAATTCTATGGTACTGCCATGATACTGACTGATTGCCGGGAATCACTAGGGACAAACTCAGAAAGGGCATGCACAGATTCCTCCTTAGGGTTCGTAGATGGTTGTCCACTACGTTCGTCATCTTCAATGGATTCCTGTTCTTCGCAAAATCGCTTGTGCCACTCACGTGATACTTAGGATTACGAAGGACAGGAATCCATTGAAGATGAACTCTGTGGATGACCATCAACATGGATTTTAATAAGACCGATATCGCCGACTTTATATCGTCGATATCATTATATCACGAATGCCTTTAATCAGAATGGGAAGCGCAAAGGAAAATCCCCAGGGTCCGGATCTGAATTACACATATTGAGTGATATTGAGTCAAATAATATTTTTTTTGTTCAATAAATTATTTTATAGGAACTAGTTATTTTCCCAATTCATTTTCCAGGAAAAGTCAGGGGACTATGGGAATTTTAAGGGAAATCATAAGCAGATGCCGTCGAGGTATGGTATCGTCGAGGTATACCTGACCTGTTTCCCTCTCTGTTACGTAATTTTCGGGTAAGCAGCTGGGGAAAGAACCACAAGGGAGTGCCACAGGTCTGCTTATTTTCCTGGCCCCAATAAGCACAATAATTGCATACTCGCTCTTTTGACATTGCGTTGGAAAAAAATTGTTACTCACGTTGTTTACAATCAATTTCAATGATATTTTTGGTACATTACCTGCCAACATTGCATGTAAAAGCCTACATATTTTCTATCGATAACGCTTATGGTACACCGTTTGCTGGCGTGTAAAATTCGGGAATATTTTTTGGGCCACCCGATATTTTTGCCAAGGTTAACGCAGCAACAAGAGGATGGGGCGACGAAAATGCTCCAAGAGGGTATGACGCAACATGCACTACACTAACTTTAATTTTCTTCAAGCAAGCTGGCAGAACACTTGAACTTGAGAAATGTAGCGATTCTCAAAGTCAAGTACTCATCCAGTTTAGATGACGTGCTGATTCAATTCGATTTAGGCCACACGAAGGCCCCATCCGAGTCGCCACGTGACTTCGTGTTGCGTTACCTGCGTATATGAGAAAATGACGCAACCTGAGAGCTTGGAAAAACGTAGACGATGGCGTGGATGTTCACTTCATGGTTGGATTTCATAGAAGCGCAGACATCATTCACGAATTTTTTCTGCTCTACAGGCGTTTCTCTATGGAATCCTGGGGTATCGATGAGGGTGACTTTCCAAGAAAACCTTCGTTCGTCAGTAAAGCGACAGTTGTAAAGGGTGATTGTATTCGTAGGCCTGATTTGCTCTTGGTTATGATGGGAATCCTGGAAGTCCACTCCGAGTAGGTAATGCTTCATTGCTTCCGCCAACGTCGACTTCCCTATCATGAAGAAGGGAGCAAGGTTTTTTTTTTTTCTCAGACATAGATCCTATTACAATTCCGGACGGGATATTTAAGATAAGGAAGGTGACCTGATCCAGTGAAGCCGAGGAAGAGAACATTCAGACTATTTCTGCCTTGTTGATCCTCGCCCAATCGGAATCCATCAGCTGCAGTTGAGGTGAATGGGAGAAGGAGTGTCGGGTGGCCATTTCCTTCGACCTTCAGGCTAATTATTTTCAAATTTTCATGGAATTGTTTTTTTGAATCTTCTTTCCTGAAAGGAACGATACAATTTTATAGTGCTGTTCCGTCAGTGCATGACGTATTGGATTATCCGACGATGACTTAACAAATTCTATTTTGACCACTGCGAAAATCGGAGGAAAATATGGGCAAGGTACAAGCTATGTCCATTTTAAGCAGATTTGCACCAACATAAAACGCTTATTTCATATTTTGCTCTCAGTAGGAATGGCGTGAGCAACCGCTCGTGTTCATGGATCTCGACCTCAAGGCACATGCATGTCCTTCAGCTTGGTTTTGGGATGTCATTTTACCAATAGGAGGAGGTTTTCTCCCCATTTTCACCTCCCAAAAGACTCATAGAAAGCATGTGGTGGCAAGGCAATACGAGTGCATGGAATAAATAGCTGACGAGTTGGGTAGCAGGCAGGTATTTTCTGGTTTCAACCCCCCAAAACATGTATTTTTCAGATTTAATCGAATATTTCAGTACATTTTAAAAACTTGCCACTCATGGTCACTTTCACTCAGGGTAAGTTTCTCAAAATGTGAGAGTTTGGCTCGATTGTGAGCGAAGATGTTTAACTTAAGAGTCGTTGGTCTTTTTTGCCATACCGTGTATATACAGAGCATGGCAATAAAATATATGCCATCAATGTACCCACGAAATTTCTCCGGAGCTACGACTGTTTCCATTTTCCTGAACTGGTTCCCCTCCATTGGGACGAGTGGATCCCTCATTGTTCCTTTCTTCCTTCAATAGATTCTCTCTCTCCTCACCTACACTCCAACCGAACATTTATTTTACAGTGGAAGTTGGAAGGAACGTAAACCCGTTGAAAGGATATTGGATCATGAGCGCTGACCTGCAGGTCTCCCAGACTTCTCCTCGTGTTTTTCCTTTTTATTTTCTCTTGACCGAAGGCGTCCTGGGGCCTGAATATCCCTGATGAATCCTTGGATGCTATCCGTTGTCATCTGCCATAGCAGTTCATTGATGGACTTCGTTTTCGTTCCTTCCTTTTCCACCTCGTCATTCACCTCGTCATCGTCTGTGGAAGGTGCCTCTTCTTCCTCCTTGACGAAGTAGGCAGAGCTGTTGACGGCGAAATATTTCTTGTATTTTAGTCCGGCTTCTACCACGGATTCTAGGACGGGGAGGCGTTTCCCGTCCGCGAAGGTACAAAACAAATACATCTCAGTCTTTTCTCCTAAGACTTTGTTCATGTTCTCCAGCACCACCTTCTGCTCTGCCGTCAATCTACCCTATTCACATGGAGGGGAATGAACATTAAAAAAATGTTTTATGACTAACAGGACTTGAACTGTATGGGGATCATCCACTCCACATCCACTGGAGAGAGTTTGCTCCAAGTGCCAAAGTGAACAAATTAATGTGTGACGTTCCGGTATTGACGTTTTAAACTAATTTGGAAATCTTTCGTTACATGTGGAAGTAGTAGTGGTCCTCGATCATCTCGATCAATCCTCGATCATCTGCCGCCGCAGCCCGCAATTAAGTTGATAACGAAAGACGATCTCTCAATCTCTGTGCATTTTTCCATAGTAAGTAGACTAATCATCTACTTGAAGTTTGTTTCCAAATATATTATAATTACAAATATTCCAAATACACACGGTAGACGCCCTCTACTTGCAAATGGTTGCAGTGTTTTGGTAGAAGTCTCAGGCGGTTAAATGACAGGACGTATGGACGGGAAAAAGTGATAGTGAGTCTTTAGTTTTCATCAACTTTCAAGAGTCAAACGAGGAATCAGCGGGATAACACACTCTCCTGATGCTCCACGTCAGCATGGACGTTGCATGAGATATGAAGCAGTAAATACAGTAGTATCAATATTTCTCTCTAGAGGTTTAAGGCGTTCAGAACAAAGCGGTCATAAAAGGCGGAAAGGGACTTCCTCCTGTCCTCCGGACCCACTTAATGTAGGCAGGGAGGATATATTTCTCAGTTCTGTCCCGTTTAACATCTAAATCTAATATAATTTCAAGTTGCTCCCTCTAAAACTTTTAAAACCTTTCTCAGAGTTGTTATAAAGGCACGACTTTCACTCTTCTGCGCGTATATCCTGTCCTGAAATGTGATTGCAGGTTATTCTAGAAATTACTATTTCGTGAAAGCGGCCGTCCTGTTCAAAAAAGGTAACATCTTGCTGAGGTGGTTGCCCCAGCTCCTCAATGACTTTCTCTGTTTGTCCTGTCAATCTATGACCCGCATTGGCTGCGAATAGAGTGAACTACTTTGTGCGGAAAGTGAATCAACCTGAGATCCAGGGACGACGAAACCGACGGCGTGGATTTCCATTTCTTGGGCGAAAGTGCGGATGTCTTCCATCAACTGCAGGTCCAGCTCTATTGTCCCTTTTTGAAAACCCGGTGTATCAATGAGGGTGACCGGAAGCGGAAACCTTCTTTCATCCCTGGTGAAAAAGGTATAAGAAGTGATGCTGTTGGTGGGTCCGTCCTCTTTCTTCATCTGGAACCGATATGGATCCTTGAAATCCACTCCCAACCAGTAATTCCCCATCGCTTCTATCAACATCGACTTCCCTGCAATTAAAGAAGTAGACAAGGGTGATCCAGACATGTCCGACGCGTTTATTTAGAAAGTGGTATTTAATGACTTGAAAAGCCACCTGAACCAATCCAACCGAGGAAAAGGACATTCAGGCATCGTCTGTCCTGTTGATCACCCAATTGGTATCGATGAGTTACAGTTGTGATCGATTGGGATGGATGTTCGACCATAAGGAACGATTTAACACTTTTACTGCTACTTTTTCGTGACTCCGAACCCAATTCTTTTTCTTCTTTGTTCTGCGTCATCGAATCTCTGGTAAGTACACAGTAGGCGATTAGAAAATCTCCCTTCATCTCAAATCTCGCTTCACGTGAAAGCGCACCGTCCAACATTCATAACATCAATCTTTATCCTGGTACTGTGCCAAACTGAGATATAAACAGTCGACAGTTCATTTGTACCGTACTGTATGAATGTAGTCATTTCCGGCACCTATAGACACGGATGGCTCAGAAATGAATGAAGCCTCCAGCTTTTATCCTGGTACTGTGCCAAACTGAGATATAAACAGTCGACAGTTCATTTGTACCGTACTGTATGAATGTAGTCATTTCCGGCACCTATAGACACGGATGGCTCAGAAATGAATGAAGCCTCCAGCCTGAGCTTGTGCTGCCATCTGCCCAACGAATGTGTCAGACGAGTTTGTTCGAGAAATGCTCATTAGGTGGCCCCAAGATTCCGCCAATTTCCTATTTTCTGGCAGTCGTTGGTGCGAGCTCATCACAGGCGTAATAACATAAAATATCACAAATGCTAGCAAAATCACTAAATGAAGATCAATGTTACTGTAAACTGATTTTTTAAATGTCGATTTTCACCTTAATTAGTTGTTTTCCTTCAGAGTTCCTTATGCGATTTGAAGGATTAATATCCTTTCAGGGATGAATTATTGTGCATAAAATAAAGTTATGGGAGCATAAAACTGTACTCGCTTATTCCCCCACCTATATATAGGGTGGTTAAAAAAAAACCGCTATTCTGGTTTCTATGGAGAAACATAGCTTCATAAATGCGAAAAATATATTCATTGGCACCCACTTTTTCACAGTCGAATATCTCGGTGCATCATTTTCCAAAGTCTGCCGCATATCTGCGTGGATGTCTTTCGCACTTAAGCCCTTCAGGAAAAGGAATGGAATCACGGCCCGGTGGTTACATTTTCCATGTTGACTGAGGGCTACGCACGAGCACTCGCAATGTTTTGTTGAAAATGAACTGCCGAGAGTATTGTCATGAAACTTTGTCATGTAACGATTATTATGCAATAAATAATGGTAACAACTGACCGAATGAGAAGAGAGGACCTTTCGGGATGGGAAAAAGAAGGAACCAGAACGGTACTTCAGCTCTCAGGCAATAACATTGTCGCAACCTCTGAAAGGTAACGCATCTCTACAGACACTTCCTTATCTATTTTTTATTTACATATTATCCCCCGCCCCAGTTGTTGCGCCCTGATAAAGGCATACTAGCTGCGCTCGCGTTGCTATGCGACTCTTGTTCCGAGAGGCGATTAAATCCCAAAAACCGTGTGATAGAGACTAAGCGGTACGATAATAGCTGCATTCACAAAATTCAAAAACTAACACGATCCTCGGATCATCTTGCGTCAGGCCAGGTCCATGAGCATCAGGAAAATCCGAATTCGTTTCTAGCCCGTGGCTTACAAAGGCACGTCAATTTATCAATTTATCCTTGCGACCGTCGTACGCCGAGTTATGGGAGGAAAATGATAGAACTTCTGTCAAGTCCGAGGCGGGATCCCAATATCAGAATGAGAGAGAATTTTTGAGAGAAACTTGAAAATCCCATCTAGTATCATCTGCGAAAAATGGCGAACAGTTTCCATTCATTTCGATGTATGGTCATTTGGGCTATTTTTAGCCATTGTGCCATCAATTTCTCAGTTGTGAGTAGGACCATTAATTGTTACCTGCAAAATCGAGTTGTAACGGAGAGTAGGTGCCGCGAATTTGGGCCATGGAAAAATTGGTTAGGATTTTGAAGGACACTAACAGGAGTCTTTTGCTTAAGGTGCAGAGGGAAAACATACGTTTCGCATGGCGTGCAAGAAGGTAAAATCATGAAGGCATACGTTCTTGAAATCTATGCTTCCGAAGGGACAGTAAACTGAATAGGTAAACTGAGAGGATGAGACACGTGCAGTACTCCTTTAGTTTATATGCAATCTTGACTTCGCGATGTTCAATACAAATTTACTCTTGCCTCCAAAGGGGAGAATATTCCGCTAAAAACTGTTAGTAGTTGTACACCTGCATCAGAATCTAGTGCCAAATTCGTATGACCCACATTAAGGTGAACTAATCATTACTCTTTGCCAATGAATCTGGAATCGAAAGGGATATTTCGGATTTGATAAATGATTCATAACTGCGAGTCTGATTGTGCCTTTCGGCTTCATTCTGAAGAAAGTAGGCAGTAGCCAGAAGAAGCTTGATCGGATTTCTTCCCTATGGAAATGAGTGAAGAGGAGTGAAGCTGGACACCCTATATGCTGGGTTAGGCAAAAATATAGCGCCTTCCCTAGAGATTCTTTGGTGTTCATGATGCAAAAGATAGCACGGTACCTTTTCATTGGGCCTCCTTTTCTGAAAGGAAAGAGACCACTTATGGTCCAGTCCTGTCCGTCCGTGTGCCAGTGTGTTCGTGTGTCATACTTTGGTTGTCCGACGATAACTAAGAAAATATGGGCCTGACCAATGCGAAAATTATTGGCAAGCAGGTAGATATTAACAAGATACAGGTTGTGTACTTTTATGGCGAATTTGAACCGAAATGGGCACTTTATTGCAAATTTAGGATTTGAAATTTGGTCACGGGGGGGAAGGCATGAGTAACCGAGAGCAAAATCTGGATCCCAATGTGCATGTGAGTACTAGTCAGGCCTTAGGCACACGCCGTGTCAGGAACCAGAGCTGCCAGTTCCCTACCAACCTTCGTGGCTGATGGTTCCAAGCACGCCCAACCCTTCATCCTCCCGTCATCATTTAATGATCATAATGGGTATGTAACTGAAAAATAATGTCTTTGATGGACTAAGACACAAAAGTGCTGGCATTTTGTTCGATTTGGTGCCAAAATGTGGGCCTCCTAATAGTAGGGCCACTATTGGAATGGACTTGCTCATCTTTGTCTTTTACTACGACTTCTAGGTATCATTTAACCCTCCAAGAGGTAAATGTCACAATTGCCACATTTGCCGCTTGGATGGTTAAATTGTGATCCTTGATCGAGCAAAATCAGCAGATTTGGGAGTTAGTAGCTATGCTCTCATTTCTGACCGCTTGATATATTATAATGTTTCAGTGTATCTTCCAAGAAGCGTCTTTCAGCCGTTTCAAACGAAGCCGCCCATATATCAAGAAGCCGCACTACTTCACTAATGGGGTTGCCTCCAAGTACAAAAAGAAAGCAGAAAATAATTCAGAAGTCTTGCCCTTCATCGGGAAGGTTTCCAAATATATGCTTCATGGAATTTCTTTGTAACAGCGCTTAGTAAGGGAACATGTAATTTGGTCGGCGACACTATCAAGAGGCCGCCAACCCATGCAAACCTCCAACCCCCTATGGTAACCAAATCCTGACACCCTATGAAGATAATATCAGATGAACCTGATGGTGAAATTCGGGTCTACCTGAGCCTTGCAGTTCAAAAAAATCCCCCAGGGAGTTGCCCTTCTTGGCTGAAGGGCCGTTCAAGCAAGACTCAATAAATGTCTTGACATCTGAAAAAGAAAAGTTATTTAGTCTAAGAAAAAGTGAGAAAGTCTACTGCCTTAAATCCATTTTCTAGACGAGACCCAAGACGATGATCGGACCCAAGTCGATGTCGACAACGGCAGCACGGTTGCACTTTGAGGTCGCTCTTTGTCGCACGGACGCACAGACTTTGCCAGAAAGCGAGAGCAAGTGTCCCGTTTCTCTGGTCGATCCCAAGGCGGAACAATGTCACTTCAACCTTCGCCATAATCTTTGAGTGATACAAGAGAGCGAAACGCAAGAAAGGAATTGCGATGAGCTGCTTCATCGGAACAGTTAGCGACTTCATGCAGGCCTGAACGCCATTTCAAGCCGGAAGCGACAAGAGACATAGCGAGACAAACGAGCACTGCGTCCACTCCCGACCGCTCCTCGGCCAACAATGAGCAGGAGAGCGGGAACTCAAGTCTGTGGGACTGTAGAGCGGAGGAAGGCCCCCACCCCCCTCCCCCAAAGCCTTGAGGCAGTCAAAGCTGACTGTCCCCAAAGCGGGCAAGTCTGCCCTCAAAGCAGACAGCCTGTCCTCAGAGAGCTCTCTTGCAGAGCGGGCAGACTTTTGGACAGGACTTCTTTTTTTCTTCCTCTCCTCCGCCAGCAGCCTTTAGCTCCATTATTTTCCCCTGAGTCTGACTCGTCCCAGTGACGCCACAGTGACGTCCTCAAGCAATGTCACCAGCAAAAATTTGCTTCATTAGTCATTTCCTCGCTTTTTAGTCGCTCGAGTCTCTGGGCGTTTCCTCAGTTTTTCTGCCTATCTAAGCATTTTCGCTCGCTCGACGACCCACGAGCATGACCTCGGGTGGAGCATCATATTGGGTGGAGCAAGCAAGACCTTGGGTGGATCTCGGCCTCTGCCCATGCAACCGGGCACGGACATCGGCTGTGGCCGACGTATGAAAACGTCGTATGGGTCACAGATGGGGTCGGGAACGCTGTTGCTCGCACGAGAGCTTCACGAACAGTCGACGGAATGGCGAATGCTCTTAGCGGTCGGGAACAAGAACAGAGAGAGAGAGAGAGAGAGAGAGAAGGGGGGGAGAGAAGTCGATGGCAAAAGAATGCGTTGAAGGGCAGAGGAAAATCCACATGTTTTTCGGTTTGCAGTGATTTTCGATCGATGAAACCTCCCTGTCAGTAATCAATTCGCGCTTCGGCAGCCGATCTCACTCGATCGTCATCGTAGATCGAACGGAATGCAAATTTTCGCCTTTTCCCCAGTTTTTTGACCGATTGAAGACAAGTCTCGCAAATTTTATTGAAATTCTTCAGTTTTTTCGAGATTGACGGTAAAGGGAGGGACGAGAGAAACCGATCGATTCAATTCCCAAGCCTTAGTGCGGATGTCGAGCTGCCGTTGCGATCTCGATGACGAAGCCACCAGCAGAAGAGGAAAATAAAAAAGAAAATAAAGGGAAAGTCAGAAAAAAAAAACAAAGCCGAGTAATTAAAAGAAAAAAAGAAAAGAAGGGTCAGAAAGACGGAGTCGGAACGGAAGAAGGAGATGTCGTTCCTTCAAGGAAATGACACTTTGTGAGTTCAAATTCGGTGTTGGTATTCCGTGTTAGTGTTCCGTGTAACACTACGAACTCCCCCCTTAACACCTAATTTGAACTCACCCTGTGGTGTTGGTGTAACACCAGGTTTTCCTGATGTTTCGGTGAAACACCAGGTTAAACACGAAATGCCATCTTAATCCCAGTTCGACGTTGGTGTAGAGGATATTCCCTATACTTCACTGAGGGTGTTACACTAATCCCTAGGGGCTAACACCAGAGCGAGTTCAAAAGTGGTGTTAGTAGCATGAGTGACTGGCAGTAAGTAGAGGCAAGAATTGTGCGAAGTTTTTAGAGAGATAAAAGGAAAGAGGGTCGAGACGTCGCGAACACGCACACGTTAGGTGTTTTATAACATGGTGCCTCAGCGGAAGTGCCATCAGAACTGAACTCTACTACCGTCACGCTCGCAGACGAAAATTCGGATGTCTTTCACATAGAAAATTCAGTGCCTCATTTCCATGCATTTTTCTTGCGAAAAAATCTGTCCTGCATGTGATGCGTTTTTATCGCATCGAATTTGGGATGAGGTTATCGCATCAAATGTTGGATGCGATAAAAACGCATTACATGGAGGACAACTCTTTTCTCGACGAAAATGCATTAATTTGATACTGCGTGTATAGGTCAGGTATATTCTGCCGCATTGAACATTTCTTGATTAACTTCAGCCACATCGAAATTTGCCTTGCATGTCCTATTGTGGGAATATAGTGACTTTTGAGCTTAAAGTCCGAATACACGAACCTCATTCAGGGGAGTCAACGGGGCTTTTAGCGAAGGAGCTATTTTTCTCCCATAGGAATCCATGTATTTCTAAAGGACTGTTAAATATCTATAGTTAACAGTCGGATCTCATATTGGCGACACGTGTTGCACCACCAACGCACCAAACGGAATACAAGCGCCGTATGAAACTGGACTCGAAGAATGAAGTGAGCGGTTACATGGGAATCCCTTCGAGACGCACGAGCTACTCGCACGGGTCGGAGGGAAGGTGAAGTGGCGAGGAGGCCATGCACTCAGGCGGTTGCGTGTGAATCCCTCTGTTGTCAATGCATTGCCCCGAGGGTTCATGGGGGGACGGAGGGGGGGGGGGCTTCCTCGGCACGATGAAGTGGAATACGGAGGTTAACATCTGTCTAGACAATGCGAGGCCACTCAAAACACCCTTCCGACTCCGCTATAGACGCATTTTGGTTTCGCGAACGCCTTTCAGGCGACCCTGCACGGTCGAGAAATGAGAGATATAAATCGAAAATCCAGTTGATGTCTTTTTCTCTTGAGAAAAAAAAATCGAAACCCGAAAATTGAGAGAAGTATTTCATCTTGATTTACCGATTTCTCTGAGTGTAGAGGCAAATTTCTTTTAGCAGACAAGTCTATCGTAATAAATGCTGGCCTTCCACATGCGATCTCACCCAAATAAAGCCCTGATGACCTCAACAGCCTCTGGTCGATAACCCCATGCATTCCAACTTCCTATTTGATTGTACTGCTTTGGAGGCAGGCCGCACTCTTATGTGTGAGAAGAAACACATGATGATGCATTTTTATTAAATGCTTGACGGTGTACGAAGACGGTGCCCCGCTATGAAAGTTCGGACAGGACTCAAAAAGCATGTTCCCTGTAAAGCAAGACTCAACTGAGCTTTTGTCAACTCTAGGCAATAGAGAGTATCATATTTACGCGAATATGACACGCATGGATGTAGGTCCGAAAATAAGTTTCTCAGGCAATGCCTTGCCTTAAGTTCGGACACATCGGAAGTAAGACAGTAATCTGATCGAGGCATTCTGCTTAACGGGACTCTATGTCCTACCAGTTTCCTGGTAAGATCTGAGCGCAGAAAATAACTGTGTCAGGTGTAAAACGTTTTAAAAGTAAGGTTCTCTCCTTACGGTTTCTCTAGGACTCCTGTTCGCGATATCATGTTTGCCCAAGTCTAGGAATTGTGCAAAGTCTTCATAATCACCGCTTGGCTTTCGCTTAGTAAAGTGTTATTCTCGTGACTGCAAGAGCTATTTCTGAAAGCGGTCTCACGAATGGATAGTTTTTAAAACAGTGTTTATTACAGTGTCCGAATGTTTATTACAGTGGTTTTACCCTTAACTTATGTGGTTTTACCCTAGCATGGAAGAATGGTCTGAATTGAAGATTAAAAGAAACGATGTATAGGTTTCCCAATCGTCGTCGTTTTCAATTGGCTGAGCAGTCCCAAAGATCAGCTGTTACATGCAAAGCGAATCCAGATAATCTGTGGTGGATTTGTAAAGGACAAAGCTGATTCTTCATTACGAGCAACCAGAAGATGAGAAGCGGAAAGAGGCAGTGGAAAGTGACAGTACGAGGTGAATGGTCCATCGCCCACCAACCTGAATTCATGGATCCCTTAAAGAATAGGAAGGAGCTTAGAAGTCCCTCCTTCCTAGCCTCAGCAGTATCTAAGATTTGGGTGGGGGGGGGGGGGGGATGGTGGCGTAGTCATGGAACCGCAAAACACAGGGATGCAGCTCTGGTCAGTGAGAGACTTCGAATTGAAACAGCGAGCAGCAACTGAGTTGGCGAGACTGCTCCATGGTTTCGTTCAACAATGAGGACGTTGCTTCTCCATTGAAGATGTCCGGATGGCTGATCTTGTAAAGTGCTGTTTTTCTTCATCTAACACGTTTTCCTCTCCTCCTGTCTGCACGTGACGAAGACGCGCGAGCCATCGAGGACTTCCTCCTTTTATCCATGAATATTCACCTTGTCCCACGACGTAGGAATGGCATCATCATAAAAATTGTTATGCATGTGATGCGACGGAGAAAGCCAACTGCAGCGGTATAATGGCCAGTGGAATGAAAAAGTGTACTTGTTGGTAATCTAGTTTTACATTCCCATGAGTTTCGTTCAAGCCGTTAGAATAGTCTCATCCGTTTCTCCCGAATCTTTTTCCTCCGACTTTAAAGGTTACGATCCCCTGTCGGAGTTGCCACTCAGAGTGATCAAGAGCATGGAAAAACTGGGGGAGTTCTTTTGTTCGGGATGCAATCTGGGGCCAACGCTCTCGAGCGGCCTGCTGGAATTCCGCAGCAAGGCCTTCAAGTGGGTGGTGCTCTGGAGGAACGACATCTCTCGACTGGAGCCAAGAGCCATCAAAGGTGCTATCTCGAGTCAAAATCCTATGCGGGGTGTGGGGAATGTCACGTAGAACTTAGACTTCGTGCCACTAAAGTAGAAATAGCCGTTTCCCCTTCACCAAAGTCACACATTCACAGCGCCGATAATGACCCATACGCATGCCGTTCGTGCACATCCCCGTCCGTCCCAACTATCTCACTACTATCTACTTGTTTTTTTTTTTACGGCATGTTTTCAATTTCGCGTGGGTAACCCATGTGGTTATTAACCATGTGGGTATTAGTCACTATTTAGCCAAGCGATATATCTATAGCTGAACTAAACATAGCTTAGCTAAAGGGAGCTTGGAAAGGGGAATTTCCAGCCAAAACCATACATCTGCCGTTGACGAATTTACCATTGACTACTTCCACGTCATTGATAATTTGAAGAAAAAAAACTGCTACTGATCATATCAATCAGGAACATATCGGTTCCTCCCCTCAAGTAGGGCATTTGAGTACTTCTTCAAATTATATATGAGAAAGAAAAAACTTCCTGAAAATTGAGATTTTTGAAGTCCGATCAGTTCGAATCCCCTATTAGAATCCCATAGTCCCTAAACGGCGAAATATAGGCAAATGTCCTTTCGGCAGGAAATGCAGCCAAAAACTCTAATTTTCTTTTTTTTTATTGTTCAGGTGCCCTATTAGCAGTCAGGTACCGATATCATACAATTAATTTTCCTAATCGCAGTCGCTGGACTTTCACTTAACCCTTAATATGCATTATTTTTAGAAAAAAAAAGACTGATATTCGGCCATCGGAATAGGCAATGCATCTCTTCTCTCTTTCTCATTTCCATAATCGCTTAAAATCAGCAAATGAAAATATTGCTGTTAAAAATTGAACTCTACATAAGAAAGGTCCGAAGGTTGAGCAGAGGATGGGGAAGATGGAGAGCAGTGAAGTTAAGTTTTGTAAATTTTTGGATCAGCACTCCCGATACTTATTCCAGGTCTCACGGCCGACTCAGAGGTGATACTCGCCGAAAACAACATCGCAACATTGGATGAAGCCATCTTCCGCCCCATGCTGGAGGTGATGTCCCTGGGAGAGGGCTACCTGGATCTCAAGTGTGAGTTTGCACGGTTCCGAAAACGCGAGGCGACTTCTCGACTCTGTTCCCATCCCTCCATCTCTTAGCATTCTTTGGTCTTCATTTTCAGCCAATCCTATTCGGTGTGATTGCAATTTGGCATGGTTGGCGTTCGCCCCTCAATTACTAAGTAATATCCACGAAGCGAAATGCACAGATGGGAGATATTTGTCGGACCCAAACCTGATGAAATTGCTAAAGAAATGCCGCAACGACACGTTGACGTGTCCGGAACGTCCTCGATGTCCCACCGGTCTCGCAGGCATGAGATGCATCGAATCCGAATATGCATGTTTCTGTGATGAGGGTACTCTCAACACGTACTTCACTTGTCCGAGAGCATCACAAGTGTGCTGCATCGGCTCCGATGCACGAGTCCCTCCTTGCCGCGGATGCGTAAGCCTATATTCTGCTATGGTTTCCATAACAAGCCCAATAGGGTCCCTAATAGATTGCTGGGTACAGGCGGAGGCGAGCGGCTGTGAAGCACTCGACCACATATTCGATATGTGGTCGATTAGGCCTAGCTTGTTGCAAAGCTCTAAAGTTGAGAAAATAAAGTTGTCAATACCGACAGGACTTTTGCAACAACCTAATAGTTCTCGTTTTGCGATAGAATTTCATGGTGGGTTCCTTCTGACGCTGGTATAGGATGTGGAAGAAAGAAGGAAGTTTCTAAGTCGGGAGAACATCCGATTCACATGATTCGAGGGAAAGTAGCGCCCATCGGGGAGTGGCCATGGCAGGTGGCCATCTACGATTAGGATGAGGATGTTAAGGATATCATTTGCGGAGGGGCTCTGATCCGAGAGCAATGGGTTCTCACAGCAGCACATTGCATCGTGGACTACGATCCCTACTTCTTAGCCCGAGATGCGAACGACTTACTCGTCTATCTTGGCAAACACTATCGGAATGACTCCAGGGACGATGGACTCGTGCAAAAGTGTCAGGTCGGGGTCCCAATCGATTTCCTCCCTCGTTCACTTCCGATCCCAGATGAACGACATTCGTGGCACGTGCATGCAGGTGGCACAGGTCTTCCCACACGACGGGAACAGGCTTCAGATATTCCAAGCGGACATTGCACTGTTGAAACTCGAGGAACCAGCTAAGTTGACGGAAGGAGTTCAGCTGGTCTGCCTGCCCACCCAGGAATACCTATCGCAGCGCAATGTAGATCACGGAAGGAAAGGATGGGTAATCAAGGATGACTCACTTCGGTATCCCGTACTTTTAATCACTTGTCGCTAATCGTTGTTCCGATGGTAGTTGGCAGGTTGGGGTCTCGACGGCTCAAATTCCCCTTCTCGTGTCTTGAGAGACCTTGAACTTCAAGTGCAATCTGCACCCACTTGTTCGCGTTATACCGAGGATGTCACGAGACGATCCCCTGACCTCGTTGACACCCTCTTTTGTGCTGGACAGCTCAGAGAGAATCATACAGGTAAGACCCTCTACTACTCCGTCGCCCCGAGAATACAGGTAAAACCTAAATCATCCCAACCGTGTGTAACAGCTCGCTTCCCGAGGACTTTATTTGAACACGATTGGGAAAGTGTATCCAAGGAGAAAGCGCATGGTACAGGATGAATGCAATTTTTCTGCTGATGGCTGAGATTGATGTTTCATTCATTTTCCCAAGAAAGCATGAGCAGCTCTGTCACGAGTAAATAATGTAACCCTTTTTAAAATATCTGCATGTCATGTAATCCGAATATTAGGAGTGAGCGGAATTTTTCTTCCCAGAATATGAGACGGTGTGTGGGGGGGATTCGGGGAGTGGCATGGTCTTCCAAATTTTCCCAGGTCGGGAGAGAAGTCCCTGAATAATTGAGAGAGTATTGAGTCACTTATATCAAAATAAAAGTAAAAAATGCTCTGATCTGCTCCCAGGCCATTTCAGCGTCTTCACCAAGGTGCATCGGTGAGACGAGACTTCCTGTTCCTCTTCTGTCTCCCCAATTTATGAGACTTGTCAGGAAAGATAATAATCCATTTTAGAAGGAGTTTTTCTGCCTCAAACTTGCCAAAAATTTAACAGTTTTTTTTTGCGCTCACCATCTTAGTATTTGCTTAATACTGGCAGGCATAAAGTCTGCATTGAAAATAAGCAAACAGACAAAATCTCACGCCTCAACTTTAACAAGGGTCATGAGGCCTAGGGGGATGAACCGTCTGATTCTTATCCGGCTCTGGAATTGCTTGTCAGGTAAAATCTCGGCGGTGATCTCGGAGTGTCTACGCCCGAGTTATCTCGTGTTGGCCTCATGATGAAGGATGGGAAAAACTTGGATGACATTGCTGACTTATCCAAAATGCTCGGGCCCCAAAGGGTTAAACAAATGCTTCGAAAAAATTCCAGCGTCTTCTCCTTCACTGTGGATAAAGATCAGGTATCGCCCAAAAGTACTGGAAACTTATAACGAGCCACTGCTTGACACTTCCGAAATCGTGGTCATTTTGGCACCACTTTGGCACCATTGACAATACATTGTCAATATAGATCTCGTATCAATTGCAGGAACCTTGTACGTTCGAATGATTGGGATAGATGGCTCGGCCACATCTTGGACAAATGCAACCGCAGTAGTGGCGATGTGTAGGGTACATGGGCTGCCCACTGCGATGCAGTTCCCACTCCGCCACTCAAAGCCAGCGTGGGCTCAACGTGGTGTGCTGCCAGGGGGTTTGAGGCGAGGCCATTCAGGGTTAATCAGTAGGATGACAGTAGATGAGGCAAACGTGGTAAAGAACTACAAGGGGAAAGCGCCAAATGGCGAGCGGTAGGGATACAATGGTCAACATTTTCCGTTTTTCTTAACGCACTAATAGGCAAACAATGGGGCTTTGATGTTGCTTTTTTTGCCTGCTCTTTGGTTGCTTAGTTTTACTCTGAATGGTCTAGTGATAATTGAAGTCCTTTAATGGCTCTTCATTCCCATCAGGTACATGAACTGGATCGAGGAGACGATGGCAATGAACACTGATTGAAGACTAAGCACGCTCGTAAAAAATAAATCCTGTCTTAGTTTATCGCGTCCTCGAAGTTAGACCGGCCGTTTCCATCTGCAAACATGCGGCAAAGGTTGGAATTCGGATGCTGCTGATTAAGTTTTTTTGAGGGGGCTAGTATTCAATTTACTTTTATTCGTTAGATCGAGACTTTATCATCGTTAGATTTTATTTGTTAGATTGAGACTTCAGTTACGACTCTTAATGAGGTTCAAAACCTGCACACAAATGCCAGCTCTCCCCTCAAAATGTAATAGGATAGTTAATATTCATAGAAAGGAGCAAAAAAGAAACGAAGTTTTTAAAACTTTCGGTCTATTTCTCAGAAATAGGAAGCAGAGAAGAACGAGGGAAACGCTGCCCGAATAAAGCAAAGGAGAAGCATGAAATCGTGAACACGGAATGTTTTCATTACTTTTCAATGTAATTCTGAGGAGTCCCTACTGTCCAGCAAAACTGCAAAAACTACAGTGAGCCCCATCGACTCCGCTCCATGGATCTTTGCAGCTTGAAACGATGGTAGATGGACGCATTAACGCATTTACCTATAGTAGGTAAATGCGTTGTTTCTATCAAAGGCGAAAGTTATTGCCGTCGGGTTTCCTTGGCCATCAGGACATTACGCTCAGAAGCACTAAAGACACATTCGAATGCAAAGAGGCGGGATCGGAGTTATCTGTCCACTTCACCTGTCTTTCTTTGCCTTTCTGATAATTTTTTTTCTCTCTGTTCTTATTCGTTCATAAGGTTGAAGAAATGCTTGAAAGGGCATAAAGGGTGACCGGAAAGTTCGGAGACTTGTAAAATTTTAAAGATTTTTTTTCACGTGTGAGGCTTCATTTCTTCCACGAGTTTAGCTCTAGGCTTAATCTTTTTGCATCGCAAATATGACTCCTCCCGGTGCAGATATGGCATCGAAACCCAGCCGAGAAGCTGTGATTTACATGTTTCAGCAAGGTCATTCACCTGCAAAGATCACCAAGGAGCTGAAACTGCCACGGTCATCTGTGTACAAAGCCATTGCCCGCTACAAGGAACTCGGTACAACTCAGGATCGACCCAGAAGTGGCCGTCCCAGTGTCTTCAAGGATCTTGCTCTTCGAAAGCGTGTCAAACAGCTTCTCGATCGAAACCCGGAACGGAAGTGCCAAAGTCTTGCAAAGCATTTGAAGATCAAGCGCGAAACCCTGCGCTCCTATCTTAGAAAGAAGTTGGGCATTTTCCCTTTCAAAAAGAGAGTAGTTCGGGTGCTTACGAAGAAGAACAAGGAATTGCGGAAGCAAAAATCGAGGAAACTACTGGCGAGATTGGGGGATCGTGTTCTCAGATGAAAAAGTTTTTACAGTTCAGCAAGCGTTTAATCCCCAAAATGATCGTGTCTGGGCCAGAAAAGGGTCCAGAGTCTTCTCAGAATCTCGGTTTGTGCAAAGAATGCAAAAACCACAGTCATGGTCTGGGGTGGCATTACAGCCGACGGTAAAACACCCTTGCATTGTGTGGCTCCTAACATCAAAATCGATGCCAATTACTATCAAAATGAAGTTCTGAAGAAGGTTCTCTATCCTTGGGCAAGTGATCATTTTGGGGATTCTTCTTGGACATTTCAACAAGACAAAGCCCCAGCTCACACCAGCCGGTCAACAAAAGAGTGGTGCGTGCACGAGTTGCCAGATTTTATTGGTCCAGAAGCTTGGCCCTCCTGCTCCCCTGCTCCTCCTGCTCCCCTGATTTAAATCCGATGGACTATAGTATCTGGTCCTTTTTGGAGACAAAGGTCTGTGCTACTCAGCCGAAAATTTTGGACAGCCTCAAGTCAACTTTGCTGAAAGCATGGGACGAAATCCCTGTGAAACAGCTGCGAGAAACTGTGGACAATTTTCCAAAACGCCTCAGAAAAGTTATTGCTGCCAATGGCGGCTATTTCGAAGATGTTTAACTCATTTTTAAGGTTTTATTTATGTTCTTTCTCATGAAAAAAAAACATTATTGTTCTTTATGGCATCGGGATATTGGTATTTTTGAGTGCCTCCGAACTTTCCGGTCACCCTGTATTTCACATGCCTCAATGGAAGTCATACCCTTGCGGCTACAGTTGAATTCGCGTGAGCAAGGAATGGGAGGGTGACTAAAAAAAACGCTGATTGCACATCATACTCACATGTAGAAGGGGTTTCGATTTTAACCAGAACACGTTCCAGCGATTTAAATGACTAGGCACCGGCCCTGGAATAGCAAAGAGGGAAACAATAAAGGAGATAGACAGGAAGCCGAAATTGGAACGAGGTAATCGTACATATTCGGGTGACCGAATTAATTGCGCTGGGGCGTGGCCGATTCCATAAAGTCCTCACGCGTCACTTCCCATCTCATCAGTCGAAGAGATGGTCGGGTTCCTGTTCAAGTATATCGTAGCGGCAGCCTTAGCATTCGGGGTCTGCTGGGGAATCCGGAGGCGAACCGGTTTCAGATGGGTCAGAAACGAGGCCCTGGGATTGAACGGACAAGTGCGACTGTATTGGACGCCGAGGTTTCGCAGGGGAGATATCGAGGTCTTGTTCGTTGCTCCGAGCACGGGATGGGTCGGAGTGGGTTTCTCCCCCAACGGCGAGATGTATGGGGCCGACATGGTCATGAGAGGAGTCAGCAACGGGACGGCCTATTTCGCCGTGAATCTCCCTTCTCTCAAGTAGGCTTTGGTGCATGTCCTGGAAAGAGTTTTGGCTTATCCACGAACGAAGGGAAAAGGAAAATCCTGTAATTGGAAATCGCAGTTCTATTAAACTCAATTGTCCGAGGGATTTTCATTGTCACATTTCCTTTTTCAAGATTTTCTTATTACATTGGATTCAATTTTCTGCTGTTATTGTTTCTGCGTCAAATCTATCGAATCAAAGTCAATTGCAGGAGAACACTTACGTGACCCAAATTTGATCTCCGTTTCCACGTACCATAATTCTCTCAATGTCAATAAACAAGAACAGGTACGTAGACAGTTCTCAAGTTGGTTTTAAAAACCGTTCCGGCGCGTTTAATCTGAAATATTATGTGCAATATTCTTCCCTTTTAAATAATCGGCTTGAAGAGGTAAGTCGTATTTCATAACACTTCCCACAGTTTACATTTACATCAATTCATTCTATTTTCATTTTCACTTAAAAAACCCATAGAAAGTTCTTCGTTGGATAGTTAGCTAGATGTGAGAAGTGAATGAGTGTTTAGAGATGGAACGATGAGGTTCAATATGTGAGAGGCCTTCCCTTGATAGGCCTTTTTTCACGTAACTAATGCTTAGAATAGTGAGGAAATGCCAGTAAAGGAAGAAGCTAATAAGCGATGCTGGCAAGTTGAACGATAACCGATGAAGGTGACCGAACGTGAGTACTCCTATTGAGTTCCTTACGCGCGAAATAGCGGGTGGAGCCACCACGACAAGCCGGGTTCACTTCATGACTGGCAATCGTTTGGATGTCAGCAATCATGGATAATTCTCGTTGACAGAGGTGAGGCTTCGATCGGATGCTTCTGGAGGGATTCCGTCTCCGAACGGAAAATTTTCCATTTTATGCAGCGAGAAATACAGCGTTCGACTTAAGATTTCATTATTACGGTTGCACCAAATTTTGGCAAATAGAGGAAATGATATAGAGATGATTTTGGCCGAACGGGAGATGGCGCGGAGGAGCCGGTACGCATTCCTTTTTCATCTTACAAGGTAAAAACCAGGTACCTCAAGGGGCACTTGCATCTTTTAACATTGCAATCCCAACCAGAATATTTCCCGATTATTACATTGCAGAGGCTCTTCTCTAGCAATAGGTTTAAAGAATCTCAAGATTTCTTTAAACAATATTGCCGTAATTTTGAGATGAATCGCAGGAACGTCTGGAGGTCAAATAGGCTAATTCCCAATCATTCCACGTGGAGCAATTAAAATCCTTTTTCACAAAGAGCCTCCACAAAATGATATTTAATTTTCCTTCTTGATGAAGCCTGATAGTTCTGGTCGTGGTGGCGCGTTTAATAGGCTCAGCATTATTCCGGCCGGTTGACCTCAAAGATTCCGCCGGAAACCACGGTGCATAAGGTCCCCTTCATCATCTTCACGCAAAAACTATCCAAGTGATTCGCTTGGTTCTCGAATTAATTACTTTGGGTGTCCGGAAATTTTGTGAATCATTTGTAAATATATAATTCTGCACGCAATGCTCTTCCCATTGCTCAGGTACTTAGATCAATATGTAATCTCTGTGATTGCTGATTTTCAAGTCAATCCGTTGAGAAGTGCTTACAGAGCAGACCTCAAATGAGAGCCCTATAAGCTCAGTGCAACTCGGGCTGTTATCAACAAGTTGTATATGGCTACAAGCACTGAGAACTTTCACTTCTACGCGTTCAAGTGATTCAAACTTGGCATTGCGGACGCTGCCTGTTACACGGAACGAGCTTTGTTGAGCCTTGTTGAGCTAGCTCTCGAGTCGTTACTTGGCAGTCTTCATCCACCAGCTCTCTCACCGTCTCGACAAGCTCTGGTGTCTGGGTGGACCTCGGACGGTTAGTGTGAGGTTGGTCAAGAAAGGAAGGCTCCTTCTCCGTTTCAGCTGCTTCTCTGATGCTGCTGAGCCAACGGAAGACAGTAGACTTGACATACACAGGGACCAGTTCCGTGCAACAGGCAGCGGCCGCAATGCCAGGTTTGAACCACGTGAACGCGTAGAAGCAAAAGTTCTTTACGCTTGTAGCGATATACAAATTGATGAAAACAGCCCGCGTTGCACTGAGCTTATAGAGCTGTCTTTTGGGGTCTGCTGCGTAAGCACTTCTCAACGGATTGACTTGAAAATCGGTAATAACAGAGATTAGATATTGATCTAAATACCTGAGCAGTGAGAAGTGCACTGCTTGTAGAGTTACGCATTTACAAACGATTCTCCTTACTTTGCGGACACCCGAAGTATTTGCAATATTGGAACTAATATAGCAGAATTCTCCGCCATAACCCTCAACATTGAAATGAAATGCCCTGCATTATCTTGCCTGCGTAAAAATGTCATTGATGAGAAGCGTCATCGAAGCCACGGGAAGAAAAGATGAATAATGTCATTGTAATGGGAATGAAAGGATGTGATTCATCTCCCGCTTCATTCACGATGTGAATGCGGCCTAGCGCAACGACCAACATGAATCCCCACTGACGGGGAAAGAGCATATGGTTTAGGAATAATAATATCTAACCGTTGTCCTGTCGGTCTGTCCGTCTGTCCACCGGAAGCCACCAGGGACCGACTTTTCCGAACACGACCCGCGGTTCGGGTTTGATGGCCAATGTCGAGCCGATCGGACCAGTCCGCAGCCCGTTGAGGCCTCTAAGCTCGAGAGCACGAGGTCTCTGCAGTTCGTCCGCACCCAACAGGAAACTCGATCGTCAATAGAGCCACACGCCGGATCCGCGGGTCGTGTCGGTCCGATCGAATCGATTTGTATCCCGTGCAGAGCTCGGAATCGTCCCTTCCGGAAATACCTTCCGCCATAGTATTTTGCGCACTTCCGTTATCATAATAACGGAAGCACCCAAAAGACAAAATACAAAAATCAGCCTGTTATACCACGTTGATTTTCTTTGTAAAAAGCATCAGCACAGATTGTTAAATTGTGTCAGTTCTAATATGCTTGAGACACGAGCGGTGGCCTTGCTAGTTCCTTATATACTGCAAAGTTTCATTGCAAGTTATACTTCAGATAAAAGACATCAATCTAATCTTCAAAAATAAAATATCGAGCTGCAAAATATAAAAAGTGTAATACTCATTAGTATACTTATCATGGCTTAAATGTTGAATTATTTGAATTTGGTAATGCGACGAATTCGTTTGCAACATTTCTTTTGCTGATGGAGAGTTTTTTTTTTAGTCCAGAGGGTATTTCTTTTCTCGCTGTTAGTACCAGAGTCGGCAACTCATAGATCATTTTGGAACTGATTTCTGGTGGTATGTATCGATGTGAACATTGTGATTCATAGTTTACAAAATTTTCGTAACTTCCTGAAGTTGCAAGGTAGGAACGTGATGTTGGTGCTATTGAGTAGCGCTGAAGCTATTATAAACAAAAATTTAGCTATATTCTCGACATCAATTTGTTAGAATCGATTAGAAATCATACTTGAATTTGAAATGGAACGGAAAAGAGCACTGGTTTTATGGGAGCAGGGAGAAACTTTTTTATCATCTTCCTCTCATCAGGTGATTCTGGATGGAGGGTAACACGAAAGTAAAGGAACTGCACAAAGGGATCTTTGGCGACCTCTTCTTCGAGCAAATAATCGTGCGCGACAGTGCCTTGGAGAGGATCGATTCCATGGCCATCCTCCCCTCCAAGTCCGAGCTCGTGAACATCTCCGTTCATCATAGCCGCTTGAAGTCGTTTCCCTTCGATATCGTACCAGACCTCCCCCGCCTCAAAAGGCTTTGGCTCTACGGAGGTTTGCTGAGCTCGGCTCCAGCCATTCAGAGTAGGAGCCTCGATATAGTCTGCCTCTCAAACAATAACATCGAGTTGGTGATGGAAGACGGATGGGCAACTCCCAACGTCAACATCGGTGAGTACTTGACTTACGGTGCAGTACACTCATTCCTTATTAATTGATTCCCATCTTTTATTTGAGATGTATGCACATTTCCTATTCGACAAGGAAACGTGCAAACTGGGCAATTGGGCAAACTGATTTTTCAACGTAACAATGTTGCCTCAATATTGTGTAAAAGGTTGCCTAAATGTTGAAGTGAAACACCGTTCAACGTTTAAAATAAGCTCATATATCACGTTGTACCAAAGTTGAATTGTCAACGTTTGGGCATTACCTTCTCCTTTTCCTGAACGCATTAATAGTAATTAGATCATGAAAGCACTCTTGGGAATACTATCACCGAGAGGTCCTTCTAAGATTGCAACTTCCTTTAATGGATCGAAATCCAAATAATGTACTTGAATGACACAATTCATTCTGTACAGCAAGGGAATTATGCAACTAGCCCTCCGTGGAGGATAAATTTAAAGACGATACCCCAGCAATTATCTCCAGATTTATCTCCCATGCCGAAGAAGAGTTAGACAAACCCTCGCAGGCCAGCTAACACGTTTTTTGATTCTCGAAAGAAACGCAAGAGCCCAAGCCAGTATATGCGCCTTGTAGTGAGGTAGGAAGATTTCGGGATGTCTCCTGGAAGCTCTTGCCAGAAGTACCTGGAGTCTCCTTCTGCCGGGCTGCATCCTTCAACGGGTCAATCTAGGAATTCCAAAGCTTTCCCTTAAGTTGTGCGTAGGAAAAGATCAAGCGCTGTATGAGAAATACATAAGGCTGTATTTTTCAGGGTACCCGGGACAGAATTGTTAAAACGGCGGTTAGGCGTCATCTCGCGTCGAACCTATTTTCTGCTGAAATGATCTGGATAATTCCATGTTGAAATAACATTAAGACTACAATGAAGACGAATGTGAAAAACAAATTTGCATTTAATGGCATCCGAACGACTTCGTTAAGCCATGAGCTATGTGCTGAAAATTCGGTTAATTACGAAAATCGGACATTTCGTTGATGTTGATTCTTCTCTGAATCTCTTTCAAACAGGACTCAGCATTTCAAATTTAAGTCAATGCTGACACAACGTGGTTATATCTAATTCTGTACTGATTTCCT